TCCAGCTGATATGAAGTGAGGGGAGATACACAAGAACACCCACACTTGCAGATAGTACCCACTTGACCTGGCTTCAATGGCTGAATGATCAGAACTTGACTAGAGAAAGAAAGAAGAGGGGAAAAAAGTGTAATCCACTACAATTTGATGAACTTGACCTATACTTATGAATGTAGTAGCTTAAAAGAGGGGATGAATCTTTACAGCAAGGATCATTCCCACCCTGTCGGTACACAGGGTTGACAGGGATGGGCAACTTAGACATTGGCTATCCAAACTGGGGGAGGGGGACTACAAAGGCACAAAATGACTGGTTTACAAGTTTTCAAGAGGGAACTTAGCTTCAGAGGATGCAGGGGAAGGTAGAATCTCCACTGAGTGGTTTTCAACCTGTCTAGATGGGGCTGGTGTAAAGAGATGGTGATAAGACTCTTGTGGTTCAATAGTGAATAATTGCTATCAGGACTGATTGTGAATGTTGCAAATGTAAAGGTAGACGTTTTGTAACAAAAGGAGGGGAGTGGTTGATCTTGCAGTCCAGGAGTGGAGGACCCTGGGACCATCAAGGGAGAAGAGTGGAGTGCAGGATCCTATCCAGAGAAGCAGCGACGCCAGAGATGGAGGCAGAGACTATGATGTGGAGAGATGGAGCAGCTGGGGACTCTAGACTCAAGGAGGGAGAGGGGCTGTGAGCTGGCGGCCGGGGGGCAGTATTGTAGGATATGTCCTTTGGTTGTTTGAATGGTTATATATTACTGAGTGCTTCTGTGTACATCCAAAAAAAAAAAAATAATAATAATAACCATTAGAAATAGAAGCAAATGTTATTGAATGATGATGCATGAGAGGATTGTAATAATTGTAGTGAAACAAAATACAATAGGATGAATGTAAAGCTTATGTTCTGCTTTTTAAACTATCACTCAATTCACAATAAAAACTAAAAAACAAAACAAACAAAAAAACCATTTGGATGTATACAAATTTGAATTTGTCAAGGCTGGTTTGTGTGGGTTGCCAAGTTGGTTTCAACTCATAGAAACCCTAGTAGCTTGTGGACTTGAACTACTGATCTCGCAGCACAGCTAGCAGTCTAATGCTAATCCTACAGGACCTATACATGAGGCCATGTTTGACTTATTTGTCTAACAAATCCAAATGTCCATCAACAGGTTATTGAGTAATCAAGTTATAATATATCCATAGAGTGGAATGGTACTCAGCAATGAAATTGATTGAACTATTTACACCTGCATTAATGAGGATAGCTCTCAAAATAATTTTGCAGAGAGAAAAAAGTGAGACTGAAAAAAGTGCATACTGTATGTATCCACTCACATAAAATTCTAGTAAATGCAAACTAATCTCTAATGACAGATCAGTAGTTGCTTGGGTATAGGTTAAGTTATTTTTGTTGTTAAGTGCCATCGAGTAGGTACCAATTCATAGTGACCCTATGCACAACCAAACAAAACACTGACCGGTACTGCACCAACCTCACAACCATTGCTACATTTGAGCCCATTACTGCTGCCACTGTGCCAGTCCATCTCATTGGGGGTCTTCCTCTTTTTCTCTGACATTTGATTTTACCAAACATGATATCCTTCTCCAGGGACTGGTCCCTCCTGATAATATGTCCTAAGTATAAGAGAAGAAGTCTGGCCATCCTGGCTTCCAAGGAGCATTCTGGCTTTACTTCTTCCAACATAGATTAGTATGTTCTTTAGGCACACCATGGTATTTTTAATATTATCCTCCAATATCATAACT